CGGCGGGAGAGGGGCTCGGTGCTCGAGGTCAGCATTGCGGCTCTGGGTGTTTGTGGAGCTGGGGCCTCCCTCCCCTGCCCCCGCCAGCTCCAGGAGGGTCATCGGGCTCAGCTCTGGGGCCGTGGGGACCCTGGGGGCCTGGCCAGGGTGGGATGACCCGGCGTTGCCCAGGCTGCAGGGCCAGACCAGGGCGAGGGAAGTCAGAGTGGGCCAAGGGGTGCTAAGCTTGGAAAAGGCCAGCCAGAGGCCACCGGAGGAGAGCTTGGTGGTTCGAGGAGGCTCTGTCAAGGCCCGCCCGCCGGTGCCCTTTGGCTTCCCAGCCCTGCTGAGAAGGGGGCAGCCCCCTCCCCTCAACTTTTGCGCAGGAGGACGCTGGGAGGGAGGGGGAGCAGGCCCACTGGGCAGAGTTGCCCGGAGCGGGACTGGGACTGAAATGCTGGTACCCAGGGCCCTCGGGTGGGAGAGACGGCGACCTGCGGTGCTCGCCTCCACACAGAGGGGACTGACTGCAGGGCGGGAGAAGGCATCATTCCCTCTTGGGATTGGTCAGGGGACACTGCCTGGGGGGAGCTTTGTGGCTGTCAGGGCCCGTGTGTGCTGCCGGAGGCCCCTCCAGCTTGGCGCAGTCAGTTGTGTGGGGCACGGCTGGGTCAGGAGGTGGCTTGGCTGTGCGACGCCTACCTGTGTGGTCTGGGTGGCAGCGTGTGCCATGCGCATGTGGAACTCCTGCCAGCGTTGTGCACATGGGTGCTGTGTGGGCCTTCCTTGCTGGCTGTCTTAGGAAAGCCTTCACTGTCCTGAAAGGCCAATCTGAACCCACCAGCGGCCTGCCAGCCGCGGGGGGAGGGGGGTCCTCAGGCCTGTCCTGACCCCTTCTCCCCTCCAGGTGCCATCTTCGAGGAGAATGCGGCCAAGGACGACAGGGTGTTCCAGCTGGCCATATCTGACCTGAGCCTCAACGATGACATCCTGCAGAGCGAGAAGATCACCTACTCCATCAAGGTCATCGAGGCCAACAACCCGTTTCAGGCCGTGCAGGAAGGTGAGTGGCCGCGGTGCCCAGGGCTCCATGGGCCTCGGCCTTGAGGCTGCTGGGCAGAGAGGACCCCTGCGAGTTGCGAAGGGCCTGGCCATGGAGCCCATGCGCTGGGCAGCTGGAAGTGCCCTGCACTGGGCCGGCTGGGAGTTTGTGAGTGGGGAGCTGGGCTCCTAGGAGCGTGTCGCGAGTTGTGTGGCCACTTCCCACTGGGTCGGTGCGTGTGGCCCGGCGCTGGGCGCGCAGGAGTGACTGGCTCAGGGTCTTTGTTTCTGAGTGTTTGTGGGTGGGCGTGCTTGATTCCGTGCACCCCCTGACCTAGATGACTGGTGTCTTCCTCACTGCGACCGAGGAGGCCTGGCGAGCGAGCGGACCTGTTGTCTCCCCTCTCCCCTCACACTCGGTGCGTGTCCAGTGCCCCCTCAGTGCCTTGGTGCCACGTTTCCTTTGGGCCCTGCTTATCGGCCTGGTTTGGAGGAGCCGGTTTCTCAGCTCCCGCTGTCTCCGCCTGGGCCGGGGGTGGGCGCTGTTTGACCAGGAAAGGAGAGGAGGCGTTGGGCCAGGCCTGGCTGCAGGTAAACCCTTGCCTGCGCCTGAGGTCGTGGGCCACAGCCTCTGCCTCAGATAGGGCCTGGGGCGGGGCAGCCGTGCACGGGGAGCTGGACCGGCGGAGGTGGCAGGCAGCCTGTGCCCTTCCCTCCTCCGTATGGGCCCCTTCTTTCTCTCCCAGCTGGCTCTAGGCTTGGCTCTGGAACCCGGCTTCCTCCCCTGTCACCCATTTTCTGGCCAGCGCCTGAGGCTCCCCGCCCCTGACATCTGCCCAGCCCCGACCCCTTTCCTCTCCTCGGCCTCCCTCATGCATCTGGACTCTGCGTGCCGAAGACAGAGAGCACAGCGGGGGGCGCAGAATGTGGGGGCATCTCCCAGGAGCAGCTGGAGCACAGGGTGTAAGGAGAAGGTGGGGTGAGGGGTGCAGGCAGCTTCCCCCTCCCCCAGCCCCCTAGGCCCAGGGTCCTCCGGGTGCCATGGCTCAGTTTGGCTGTGGTTTCTTAGGTGCCGCAGGTAGGGGACTCCATGGAGACTCTGGTCCCGGTCCAGAAGGAGGGAGCTGTCGTGGGAAGAACTTTGGCTGCAGGAGGTCGTCCGGGAGTCGGCAGAGAGGGAGAGCCCACCTGGGCTTGAAGGTCTAAGGAGGTCATGAGGGGTGATACAGAGCCAGCGCTCTGAGTTTGGGGTGGCAGTGGGTGGGTGAGGCTGCTGTTGCCTGTTACAGGTGCTGCTGCCTCCAGCCGTGGCAGACCCCCATGGTCATATGTCGACTGCGGTGCGGGAGGGGGATCCCCTGTCCTTGGCGTCTGGTCCCACCAGCAGTGCCTGCCTCCACTTTCCCCGCTCCTGGATTTCTTTTGTGTGCCCTCGTGAACATGGGCTCCATCCAGGGCGGGTGTGCTTGCTCAGGCAGCACCCACCCAGCTGGAGTGGGGATCTGGGGTGACACAAGCTTTTCCCAGTGCCTCCTGCTACCTTGATACTGTCCCCCACACCTGTCTCTGCGGACATTCGTGCTTTGTCTGGGAGCTGAGTTCAGAGAGGGGCTGCACCTGTCCCTCTCCCGAGAGCTCGCCGTGCTGCGGGACCCTGCCTGTGTTCCCAGCGTTCACCAGGTTTGCCCTTTGGGAATGAAAGTCCTAGTGCTGTGGATGTGCTGAGGAGTCCCGGATCTGGACTTGAATGTAAAATTTGATTTTTAACTGCTGTCAACTAATCAACAATTTACCAACAGAGTACAGGCCATACACAATTAGCTGTGGGCCATTCAGCCTCATGCCCAGTGTGACTCGTTCCTGGAGACACAGGGCTCCACCAGGGACTTGTTCTGTCAGAGACCTTGCTTTCTTGAGGCAGTTTCTCTAATTGTGTAACTGGAACAACACCTCAGCCCCACGACGGTGGCTGACGCGGTCTCCTAGTGGTGTGGGAGGGAGTGTGTGCACAGCCGCTGAGGCCGTGGGACCGGGTGCAGGGGCACTAACCAGGTGGTGCTGAGCTGCTGCTGCCTGGAGAGTGCGCTGGTTAAAGCTGGCAGGTGCTTTCAGTGTCTGAGCTGTGTGGGCAGCCGTCCGTCCGTCCGTGTCATCCTGTGCCCTTGCGAAGAACCTTGTCGGTGAGGGGTGGGAGGAGCCAGCCCCTCCTGGGCCTGGGACTGCAGAGCAGCGCTCAGAGGCTCCTTTTACCTGGGCTCCGGGGCAGGCTCTCCACTGGGTGTCCTTCCTTCTGTGCCCTGTGGGGTGCTCGCCGTCGCGGCTTGGCCCTACTTGCTGGCTCTCTTATCTCTTGGCCTGGATGCTCATTGCAGCAGGATGTGGGTGGCAGACACAGTTTGGGTGGGATGGGAAAGGACTTCTTGGTGGGGGAAGAGCCAACGGTGAAGGGGCCAAGGTGGACTGGGGTTTAGCCCCATCACGGACTGGGGAGCATCAGTGACCCCCTGTGGATTGGGGATTGAGCTGGTTCTGCCCCCATTTTAGTCCAAGAGACAGCACCATGTGGATAAGGAGCTTGGTTGCTGGAGCCCCAGGAACTCTCTTCAGACCCTGCTCGCCTCTCTTGCAGTGGGACCGGGGCGAGTCCCGGCCCTGCTCTGAGCTGCCGCTGCCACATCTGTTAACGGGAACAGTGATGGAACCTGCCTCAGGGGCTTGTTGTGAGGATGCACCGAGCAGGCGTGCGGATGTGTCTGAGGAAGGCCTGTGGTGAGAGTGCGGCGAGCGCCTTTCCTTCTCCGTGCCCAGCTGTGAATTCCTCTCACTGCTTTGAGGCTGTTAATATCTTCAGCTGCATCATTTCTTCAGCTAGTGGATGTCTTGAGAGTGGACCCTTTTTACTTAGCTTCCACCCCCAATTATTTAAAAAACATGGCTACAATGAGCATGAATTAATTTAATAATGTGAGAGAAAGGACAATGCATGTTCATTCCATAAAATGTGGAATGTACAGGAAGCATCAGGACAGTTTATATTTGGGAGAAATTAGGTTTATGACCTTGCAGTTCACCCAAACCTTCCTTCCTTACAGGTCTCGCTTGATTCTCTGTCAGACTCATAGTTAAAATGATGAAAACTGGAAATAACTTCTTTCAGACTAAAAATATTTTGTTTTTAAAAATACAATAAAGTGCTATTAAGTTAAAAAAAAAAGCGAGACAGGACAGCATCATTCTGAATTCTCCGTCTGTTGCACCCCTCTCGTTCCCCCACCATATTTTACAAATGCCGAGAGCTCCATCCTGTTCCGGTCTAGATCCTGCTTTTCCATTTACCAAGTCAGGGACTTCTGAAATCTCCGCGAAGTATTTGTAAACATTACTTTCAGCGGCTGCATATGTTTTTCAATATTCAAAACAAGTTATTGTTTAAAGAGTGGAACCATTTATGCTGAGATATGCTGAAGTATCACTGGAGAAAATCAGAAAGGACTTTGAATTTGGTCCTGTGGTTTTTACTTACAGCTTCTGTAGGCTGAGTTTGTATAAGCTCCGTACAAACTACCTCCTGAGGTAGTTGGTCAGCCAGTTCTTTCACACTGATGTAAAAGAACGGGTTGCATTAGTGAAATATGCATTTGATGAGGATTTAAAGTAAGCAAGTAACAGAAATGATACTTAAATCTTTAAAATGTTATATCTTAGAGGGGGGTAAATGTGAGGAAAAGGGGACATCTGTAATACTTTCAATAATAAAAATAAAAAATGTAGTATCTTAAACTTACCAAAGTCCATATAAGAAAAGTGTGAAGACTTGTCTTCTAGATACTAGAAGACATACTAATCCTATATAATAAAAGGCTAATATGCAAATAGACCAAACATTGGAATGACTGGTCACTATGATGTGCACTGACCACCAGGGGGCAGACGTTCAACACAGGAGCTGCCCCCTGGTGGTCAGTGCGCTCCCACAGCGGGAGCACCGCTCAGCCAGAAGCTGGGCTCACGGCTGGTGAGCACAGCAGTGGGGGGGGGAGCCTCTTCCGCCTCTGCGGCGGCACTGAGGATGTCCGACTGACGGCTTAGGCCTGCTCCGTATCAGTTGGACATCCCCCAAGGGCTCCTGGGCTGTGAGAGGGCACAGGCTGGGCTGAGGGGACCCCCCCCACCTCCCCAGTGCACGAATTTCATGCTCCAGGCCTCTAGTTTGTTAAATAAAAAAATTTTGTATTGTTTTAAAGTGCCTGCTCAAGGAGAAGATTATATAAATGCATGAATGTGTAAAAGAACTGGCTAGTCCTGGCCTCCTCTATTCACAGTATTTTACTGTGAGTGAAAGACCCAAGTTATAGGTTATGCTGTAGAGATATGTCATTGAGTGGAAAGGTAACAATTTAGGGAAGAAGAAGAAAAAAGGAACATATATGAGGCAATATTCCTTTTAGTTACAATAAGCGCAAAAGTATTTTAGGAAGATAAGGTAAAATTCACCAAAGTATAGCTTGGTGTTCACAGAATAAAACGAAGAAACAATGAACTAAAATGAAAATAGAACTGAGCGCTTGATGGCCATCTGATGGTCTTGTTCATTTTGTGTTGGTCACGTCTAGGTCGCTCCTTGCCCTCTGACACCAGGCTGGTGCGTAGATGTTCTGCAGGAGAGGGTCCACCTCCCCCTTCCCAGCCCCCGGAGGCCGCCCGCCTTGCTCAGCCCCTGGCCCCTTTCTCTATTGTCCAGCCAGCTCTGGTGGATGGGGGCCGCACAGCCTGTCACTCTGGCCTTGCTCCGTCATCACAGCTCCCTCTCCACCTCTGCTTCTCCGCCTCCTTCTTCCTGGAACTCGTGGGCCCACCTGGATAACCCAGGATGAAAGTCAGCAGATCAGCAGCCTGAACTGCACCTGCAGCCTTATTCCCTTTTGCGAGGCGGCCACACACAGCCACAGTTCCCGGGGTAGGACCTCGGAACTTTGTGGGCTGTTCGCTGCTTCCATGTTGGCACACCTGTCGGTGCCCAGC